TCAGAAATAATAATGGAGTATAAATAGTGGTAGCTACTGTTTGTATTAAGTATAAATAACAACAAATTCTATCTTGTTTGCTCTAAGTGCAAATAGTTACAGATGCCATTCGCACAGCGTTAATAGTGCAAATAGCATATTACAGTACTTGCAATACTACAGTATTTCTATAAAATCATGTGGGCAACAGTGGACGTAGTTAGCTGAAATTGTTTTTGCCAACAAGGTTTGCACTCAGTGTGAATTCACTGCCTAAAAAGTCAAATTAAAGTTTTTGTTTGTTCACCACTGAGACATTTCCCTGAATCTCTTGAGACATGCACCTAAAACTGAAGACAACATGATCAACACATACTTTCACATCGGACTTAGATCTGTAGGATTTGCTTAAATTCTGGGTCTGGAATCACAAATCTCTTTTTAGTTATTCCATCCTACTGAAATGTTGAAAGATTTACCATCACTACCTACCTGTCACGTTTATGTGTACGATTTTGTACGATTTCTATGATGGTTAAGTTTAGGCGCGGGTTTAGGTGTGGTCCTTCATGCGAAATCCTGCAAATTTGCCACCTCGTAAAATACGTACAATTTGTTTACAAATCGTATGAATTTGTATGAGTGAGGTTGTACGAATTTGTACAAATTAGCCACCTTGTCAAATAGGCTATGTACAAATTGCCATGAGATCGGGTTGGATTCATTAGGGTCTTCATGAAATGTCTGTAACATACTTTGGTTAAAGGGGTGGTTGATTGTAGTGAGGCAAAGTCCGACTCATTTCCGCAAACCGGTTCTTTTTTCACTGAACCGGTTCAAAAAGCTGATTCATCGGTTCCTGACATCAAGCAATAACGTCTCTACGCATTTATTTTCTAACAACTCAGTTACGACTGACTGACCAATATTGCCTAGCCTACAACTTGGATAAAATTCCTAAAAGTTTCACACCTACAGCACACATTACAGACATTGATGCACAAACGCGGTTATGTTCTACATGTCTACAGTATAAAGAATGAATAAACCAGTCTTAAAAACTTTGCTTAAGCAACTTTAAATATGCATGCACAATAAACTATTGTAAAATTTATTTACATCACTCGACAGAAAGGTTTTTGCAGGTTTGAATAAAATGTAAATTAATAACAGTCATAATAAGCATGTTTCCAGTACGCGCCTCAGGTTTGCACAGTATCATCAACTCACTCATTAGAATCTTCGGTAATCCTCTGCAAACTTCAACAGTTGGTTGGACCGGCTCATTCGGTTCTTTTTGAGTTGGACGTGCTACTTCGGCTGTGCATCCTGCGTCATCAACCCGGAACTAAAGTTCGATTCAGTTCGATTTGTGAACCGGCTCAACCGGTTACTTCCTGAGAACCGGCTCAAAAGAACGATTC